CTAACAATGAACGTACATACTGTCTAATCTAATGTTATCTCGATTTGGAAATACTCAAGACAAAGGATGTATTAGAATGATGCTTATTGAGCCACATGAGTACAATCCGTCTGCATTATTATACACTTGATTTGTATGATATGGTACTAATGGTTCACTGCATTTTGGAACATGACCATTCAGATCTGGTTTGTCCATGAGACTCCAGAAGAAACACAGCCTGACATAAGGAGGATGGGATTGAACAGATGTATCGATACGACGCCCTCTGAAGCAGGAGGGTCTTGGGACGGTGCAGATCCATGACATGTAAGGACATTTATCGACATTTATGAACAGTGGTCGTCCTGCTCCCTGTGGACCAATGGCTCCTGTGTGTTTGTTGTTTCTGTATTTCCTGGGTTTGAACTGTTTGTTTGATTCTCTGTTAAGGAATTCAGGAAACTTTATGAAGAACTCTGCGGCGAGTGCTGTTTGATTTAAGAATAAACGAAAATGAATTGATATAAAAAGGGATTTGGCCACTGATGAGGAGGTGATGAGGAAGAGGATGAACGTCAGCTTAATGGAGATACAGAGAGGCACTGTTAAAACTATAGACTGTAAATATTAACAAAGGTTGTCACGCCCATGTCCACCATTGAAACAAATGTGCCACCATTTTTGCCTTCTATGGGGCTTTTTCAAAATGGCTATAGGGAAGGTATATGTGAAAAAAACAAATTTGCGAAACAATCCTCCCCTCGCCATTGACATCATCTGGAACGCTGCATTGGACCAAGAGCGACTTTTGGACCATCCTGTAAAAACACTTTTGAGAGGAAAGAAGGCACCAAACAAAATCATTGGGTAATTCCGTTTCCGGGTGCACCCCCACAGTCCTGAAACGCAGCCATGAATGTTTAGTTCTACGATCTTGACCAGAAGTATTGTCTCAGAGGAAGTAGTAACTCAAGTGACCCAGACCCATAATGTTTGACCAATGTCACCGAATTAATAGTGCAGGACCAATCTCCAATAGGTTTATTATTCTTTATGAATGACAGTCAAACACTGTATAATGGATTGCACGAGCGGTCGACACAGTCTATGTCGGAGCATCTACGCCGTCAATATATCTATCGCTCGTTTTAATTGAGTCAAGTCAGTGTTTCAAAACAGGTCACAGACGCTTAGCAGAGGGGATCAATGACCCAGGAGGAAGGATCAATGAATCACTTTTACTGACCAGAGAAAACCAGGCAAAACAAGCACTCGTCAGAACAACCAGACTGAATGTGGAGTAAGACCAATGTGCAGACTTTTACTGAAACAAGCACACGGCTTTGAAGAGAGAGAAATATCCATCAGTTTTCTACCCCTTAACCCATTTTTGGGTCGGGGGGGTGGCCAGAGATGCCACCCAGTACACAGAGCACCAGCCCCCCCACTGATCCTCCTGCAGTGCAAGTGTGAGCATAGCCTTGATCTTTCAGCGGGGGCTTCGGGCAAAGTGGGGTTAAGTGTCTTGCCCAAGGACACAACAACAGCAGACATCAGTGGGAGTCGGTGGAGAAGGTCTCATGGTGGGCTTGAACCCACAACCTTCAGGGTCAAAGGCCAATGCTCTTCCAACTGAGCTACTGTCGCTATTGTTGTATATTAAATGTAATTAAGTGACTTGGTTAGTACTGCATGATTATCACGTGTTTGGACGGTTGAGCGGTGATCAGAGCTTTGGCCTTGGGGGGTGGCATGGTATGTTATGGTATGTACTTTTTTTGAACAGGGACAGTGTACAATTAAACATTAACACAAACGAGAGTATTGGACCAGGTTAGAGCAAAGATGTTAATTTCCACCTGTAGTCCCTCGGCTGATGTTATATTCATTTAAACAGATTCTAATGATATACAGTACATGACCGTGTTTTACATTTACAGACTGTAAATAACATCATTCACAAAACATTTGATTTAATACCAGTCAAAAGTACAGTTCCCCAACTTCTCCTAAAATACTCCACATGACATGACATGGACGCTACACTTCTGCCTCTGTCAAAGGTGAGGTGTACATCAGCTCCTGTTTCCTGATGTGGCCAGTCTGACAGGTCTGGATGGATACAAGAGGCACTTTAAATCAGGAAGAGGGGGCTGACTTCTCCAGAGACCACAATGCAGTGGGGCACACTGGGCGACAGTAGCTTAGTTTGTAGAGCAGTGGCCTTTGAGCCAGAGGGTCGTGGGTTTGCGCCCGACTTTCAGCATCGACTCCCACTGTCTGCTGTCGTTGTGTCCTTGGGCAAGGCACTTACCTCAGGGAACACCAGCCACAGTGCGGCAGCTGTGGCTGTAAATTGCAAAACTGCTGTTGTGTTCTTAGGCAAGACACTTCACCCCCATTGCCTAGAATGAGTCTGGTGTGTGTGTGAATGGTTGGTTCAGCTGTGGCTACAGTAGTTTATCACCACCGTGTTTGCAGTGAAAGAATAATGACATGTAAAGCGTCTTTGAGGGTCCAAAACAGCGCTGTATAAAACCGATGCATTATTATCATTAATCCGGGAACAGCTGATCAGAGACTGGCCAAACCACCATGTGTCTCCTCTGGCAATTTCTGGAGAAGTCTGGAGAAGACAGTAACATGTAAGAGAATGCAAAACACATCACTGTTGAAGGCAGGTGTTTATTTACATCGAAGACATCTGTCCTTTTAAACCCTCCCAGTTTACTGCCACCGATCCTATAAACACTCCACACAGGCGATAAGATGAAATATCTTTGTGAATCATAGCAGGATGCATTGGTTTCCTTCAACATATTCATTGCCTTGGTCCCTATTTGTATCACATTATCCAATAAACTACCTGATAATCATCACATCAACACAAATTGAGAATAAATACATTCCGCCACGTTGTATTCCCATCTGTATTTATTGCTACAACACTATTATTGGACGTAATATATATATTCAAAAGGTAAAATTGAATGAATCTGTCATATCCCTGTATATTCCCCAGGCTATTGACCGGGGAGGCTCACATCCTGTATAGATCGTAAAAATAAATATCTTATCGCATGTCAGCTCCATCTTAGCTTAGGTTTTCATCTTTGGTTAAATAAATAATAAGGCATTGATTTTGCAGTGACACAAGCGTTGGCCTGGCCCTAAGAACATCAGTGGGATCGGGCGCTGCGATGGATGAGCAGGGGCCGCGGGCAGAGGGCTTGGGGTAATATTTATAGAAGGATTTTGTGTCTTCAAGGGTCAGAGGCTTTCACTTTTGGAGCAGATAAGATTCGCTACACTCTCTGAACCCTGCAGATTGACATTTTGAACCCTTAGCACCAATCCAAGACAGCTCATGAATAGTTCTAGGCTTCGGAATGACTTTTATCCACTGTGAAAGAAGAGAGATGAGAAAGAGTTATTGGACTTGAACCAAAATGAATGCGTTATGTCTATAAACAGCGAGAGTCAGGTTTTATATCCGTATGTACATGTTGGTGCCTATTAGTTTTAACCCATTCTTTTTATGTTTTAATGCAGAGTAATCTGTTACCTTGCCTAGGGACTACAGTTGGAAACTAGCTTGTACTGCATCTATCACTGACACATTTACTGAGATGTTGATTAATGTGCAAAACAAATGCGATCATATCACACCAACTTACTTCTAAGTCCGAAAACAAACAATGCTTTTTGCTCGTTTGAAAACTTTCAGTCACCTGTCCTGGATGGAGAAAACAAAAAGCAGTAATTATAGTTTTATAGCAACCTCCTGGTCCTCACAGTGAGTTCATAACAGAATGCAAACAAGTTTAATGTGGATTCTTGAGTGTGTGATCAGGACTTTTCCTGTAGTCAACACCCTCAGGGGAGTAAATGGTTTGGATTTAGATGGATAGGCAAGGCGAGTTTAATTGTATAGCACAGTTCATACACAATTCTATCTATCGCGTTTTGTTAAGCACGATAGAATTATGTACGAACAATCACACAAGGCTTTAAAATTATAAATAGTTAATTAAAAAAGTATGTGTAGACGGCTAATCAAAACTGTTATTAACCTGGATTTGAGCATTGTCAAATAAGAAGCCTGTCTCCAATTTTCAGGAAGACTGTTCCAGGTTTAGCTGCGTAAATCTGAATTGCTGCCTCCCTTTAGATAGATATCCATCCATCCAAAAACGTAAATGCAAAACAGTTTACCCACATTGCCAAGTATGAGTATAATGTGTGTGTGAATGGTTGGTGGTGGTGGGAGGGGCTGATGGCACAGACTGGTTGCCTCGCTTCTGTCAGTGTGCCCCAGGGCAGCTGTGGCTACAGTAGTAGTTTATCACCACCGTGTTTAGAGTGAATGAATAACAACATGTGAAGCGTCTTTGAGTGTCTAAAAATGCTGTGTATAAAACTGATGCTGTAGTACTATTATTATCTTTTTTTTATTATGATTTTTGACAGGACACATTTAAGTCTGTTTCGGTGTGAACTTCCTTGCCTATCTAAAAATCCCAGCAATATTCATCTCGAGAACTGCACGTCAAGACTATTTATGCTTCGGTTTGTTTCTGTCAAACAGCTGTAAAATTTTGTGACGGCTGAAATTGCAATCTGTGATTTGAATTGCACTGATACCAGTGGGTTTGCCGCATTCATGGGACCAATTATAATAATGTCCTTTTTAGCGCTTGAGTCGCAGTCGGCGTCTGTCTGCGCCACGCCGCAACAAAGTCGTGTACAGCCGTAATGGGGCCGACATCACTTTCAATCTCTTTTTATACCCACTTAAACAGACGAACATCAAAGGCATCAGCGAGGGAGTAACACTAGTCTCATTTTCTCGCGAGTTTCCAGACCGTCTGTCGTTATGCCGAGTCAAGCGCGGTGATAGGACGCAAGGTGACAGGCGTGGAGTTCTCGATATTTTTTTTCTTTTCTCCTTGGGTGTGCGGGAGAGAGGCTGCAGACAGGAGTGCACAGGCTGAAGTGTGGGGTGCAAATTGGCAGTGTCAGATGTGGTTCAGAGCAGAGCGGAGGCACACACCTGCGTCACACGGTGCTGCTGCCGAGATACAACATTCAGATTTGTAAATGACAGGGCTGCACGGAGAATCGCAATGTGGTTATCCCAACAAACCTCGCAACCACATTCTAACCAAATCAGTTCTCTGCATGAATGGGCTGCTGTTGTGGTAGTTGGTTGGTCTACTGTTGTGGTAGTTGGTTGGTCTGCTGTTGTGGTAGTTGGTTGGTCTGTTGTTGTGGTAGTTGGTTGGTCTGTTGTTGTGGTAGTTGGTTGGTCTACTGTTGTGGTAGTTGGTTGGTCTGTTGTTGTGGTAGTTGGTTGGTCTGTTGTTGTGGTAGTTGGTTGGTCTACTGTTGTGGTAGTTGGTTGGTCTGCTGTTGTGGTAGTTGGTTGGTCTGCTGTTGTGGTAGTTGGTTGGTCTGTTGTTGTGGTAGTTGGTTGGTCTACTGTTGTGGTAGTTGGTTGGTCTACTGTTGTGGTAGTTGGTTGGTCTACTGTTGTGGTAGTTGGTTGGTCTACTGTTGCGGTAGTTGGTTGGTCTGCTTTTGTGGTAGTTCGTTGGTCTGCTGTTGTGGTAGTTGGTTGGTCTGTTGTTGTGGTAGTTAGTTAGTCTACTCTTGTGGTAGTTGGTTGGTCTTCTGTTGCGATAGTTGGTTGGTCTGTTGTTGTGGTAGTGGGTTGGTCTTCTGTTGCGGTAGTTGGTTGGTCTGTTGTTGTGGTAGTTGGTTGGTCTGCTGTTGTGGTAGTTGGTTGGTCTTCTGTTGCGGTAGTTGGTTGGTCTGCTGTTGTGGTAGTTCGTTGGTCTGCTGTTGTGGTAGTTGGTTGGTCTTCTGTTTTGGTAGTTGGTTAGTCTGTTGTTGTGGTAGTGGGTTGGTCTGTTGTTGTGGTAGTTGGTTGGTCTGTTGTTGTGGTAGTTGGTTGGTCTGTTGTTGTGGTATTGGGTTGGTCTTCTATTGTGGTAGTTGGTTGGTCTGTTGTTGTGGTAGTTAGTTAGTCTACTCTTGTGGTATTGGGTTGGTCTTCTATTGTGGTAGTTGGTTGGTCTGCTGTTGTGGTAGTTGGTTGGTCTGCTGTTGTGGTAGTTGGTTGGTCTGTTGTTGTGGTAGTTGGTTGGTCTGTTGTTGTGGTAGTTGGTTGGTCTGCTGTTGTGGTAGTTGGTTGGTCTGCTGTTGTGGTAGTTGGTTGGTCTGCTGTTGTGGTAGTTGGTTGGTCTGCTGTTGTGGTAGTTGGTTGGTCTGCTGTTGTGGTAGTTGGTTGGTCTGTTGTTGCGGTAGTTGGTTGGTCTTCTGTTGTGGTAGTGGGTTGGTCTGTTGTTGTGGTAGTTAGTTAGTCTACTCTTGTGGTATTGGGTTGGTCTTCTATTGTGGTAGTTGGTTGGTCTGCTGTTGTGGTAGTTGGTTGGTCTGCTGTTGTGGTAGTTGGTTGGTCTGTTGTTTTGGTAGTTGGTTGGTCTGCTGTTGTGGTAGTTGGTTGGTCTGTTGTTTTGGTAGTTGGTTGGTCTGTTGTTGTGGTAATGGGTTGGTCTGTTGTTGTGGTAGTTGGTTGGTCTGTTGTTGTGGTAGTTGGTTGGTCTACTGTTGCGGTAGTTGGTTGGTCTTCTGTTGTGGTAGTGGGTTGGTCTGTTGTTGTGGTAGTTGGTTGGTCTGTTGTTGTGGTAGTTGGTTGGTCTTCTGTTGCGGTAGTTGGTTGGTCTTCTGTTGCGGTAGTTGGTTGGTCTGCTGTTGTGGTAGTGGGTTGGTCTGTTATTGTGGTAGTTGGTTAGTCTACTCTTGTGGTAGTTGGTTGGTCTTCTGTTGCGGTAGTTGGTTGGTCTTCTGTTGCGGTAGTTGGTTAGTCTGTTGTTGTGGTAGTTGGTTGGTCTTCTGTTGCGGTAGTTGGTTAGTCTGTTGTTGTGGTAGTGGGTTGGTCTGTTGTTGTGGTAGTTGGTTGGTCTTCTATTGTGGTAGTTGGTTGGTCTGTTATTGTGGTAGTTGGTTAGTCTACTCTTGTGGTAGTTGGTTGGTCTTCTGTTGCGGTAGTTGGTTGGTCTTCTGTTGCGGTAGTTGGTTGGTCTGTTGTTGTGGTAGTTGGTTGGTCTACTGTTGTGGTAGTTGGTTGGTCTGTTGTTGTGGTAGTTGGTTGGTCTGCTGTTGTGGTAGTTGGTTGGTCTTCTGTTGCGGTAGTTGGTTGGTCTGTTGTTGTGGTAGTTGGTTGGTCTGCTGTTGTGGTAGTTAGTTGGTCTGTTGTTGTGGTAGTGGGTTGGTCTGTTGTTGTGGTAGTTGGTTGGTCTGCTGTTGTGGTAGTTGGTTGGTCTTCTGTTGCGGTAGTTGGTTGGTCTTCTGTTGCGGTAGTTGGTTGGTCTGTTGTTGTGGTAGTTGGTCGGTCTGTTGTTGTGGTAGTTGGTTGGTCTTCTGTTGCGGTAGTTGGTTGGTCTGTTGTTGTGGTAGTTGGTTGGTCTGCTGTTGTGGTAGTTGGTTGGTCTGCTGTTGTGGTAGTTGGTTGGTCTGCTGTTGTGGTAGTTGGTTGGTCTGTTGTTGTGGGAGTTGGTTGGTCTGTTGTTGTGGTAGTGGGTTGGTCTGTTGTTGTGGTAGTTGGTTGGTCTGCTGTTGTGGTAGTTGGTTGGTCTTCTGTTGCGGTAGTTGGTTGGTCTTCTGTTGCGGTAGTTGGTTGGTCTGTTGTTGTGGTAGTTGGTTGGTCTGCTGTTGTGGTAGTTGGTTGGTCTGTTGTTGTGGTAGTTGGTTGGTCTACTCTTGTTGGTTGGTCTTCTGTTGCGGTAGTTGGTTGGTCTGTTGTTGTGGTAGTTGGTTGGTCTGCTGTTGTGGTAGTTGGTTGGTCTTCTGTTGCGGTAGTTGGTTGGTCTGTTGTTGTGGTAGTTGGTTGGTCTGTTGTTGTGGTAGTTGGTTGGTCTTCTGTTGTGGTAGTTGGTTTGTCTGTTGTTGTGGTAGTTGGTTAGTCTATTCTGGTTGGTTGGTCTTCTGTTGCGATAGTTGGTTGGTCTGTTGTTGTGGTAGTTGGTTAGTCTACTCTTGTGGTAGTTGGTTGGTCTTCTGTTGTGGTAGTTGGTTTGTCTGTTGTTGTGGTAGTTGGTTAGTCTACTCTTGTGGTAGTTGGTTGGTCTTCTGTTGCGATAGTTGGTTGGTCTGTTGTTGTGGTAGTGGGTTGGTCTTCTGTTGCGGTAGTTGGTTGGTCTGTTGTTGTGGTAGTTGGTTGGTCTGTTGCTGTGGTAGTTGGTTAGTCTACTCTTGTGGTAGTGGGTTGGTCTGTTGTTGTGGTAGTTGGTTGGTCTGTTGTTGTGGTAGTTGGTTGGTCTACTGTTGTGGTAGTTGGTTGGTCTACTGTTGTGGTAGTTGGTTGGTCTGTTGTTGTGGTAGTTGGTTAGTCTACTCTTGTGGTAGTTGGTTGGTCTGTTGTTGTGGTAGTTTGTTGGTCTGTTGTTGTGGTAGTTGGTTGGTCTGCTGTTGTGGTAGTTGGTTGGTCTGTTGTTGTGGTAGTTGGTTGGTCTGCTGTTGTTGGTAGTTGGTTGGTCTGTTGTTGTGGTAGTTGGTTGGTCTGTTGTTGTGGTAGTTGGTTGGTCTGTTGTTGTGGTAGTTGGTTGGTCTGTTGTTGTGGTAGTTGTTGGTCTGTTGTTGTGGTAGTTGGTTGGTCTGTTGTTGTGGTAGTTGGTTGGTCTGTTGTTGTGGTAGTTGGTTGGTGTGTTGTGTAGTTGTTGGTCTGTTGTTGTGGTAGTTGGTTGGTCTGTTGTTGTGGTAGTTGGGTTGGTCTGTTGTTGTGGTAGTTGGTTGGTCTGTTGTTGTGGTAGTTGGTTGGTCTGTTGTTGTGGTAGTTGGTTGGTCTGTTGTTGTGGGTTGGTTGGTCTGTTGTTGTGGTAGTTGGTTGGTCTGTTGTTGTGGTAGTTGGTTGGTCTGTGTTGTGGTGTTGTTGGTGTGTTGTGGTAGTTGGTTGGTCTGTTGTTGTGGTAGTTGTTGTGTGTTTGGTAGTGGTGCTGTTGTTGTGGTAGTTGGTTGGTCTGCTGTTGTGGTAGTTGGTTGGTCTGTTGTTGTGGTAGTTGGTTGGTCTGTTGTTGTGGTAGTTGGTTGGTCTGCTGTTGTGGTAGTTGGTTGGTCTGTTGTTGTGGTAGTTGGTTGGTTGTTGTTGTGGTAGTTGGTTGGTCTGTTGTTGTGGTAGTTGGTTGGTCTGTTGTTGTGGTAGTTGGTTGGTCTGCTGTTGTGGTAGTTGGTTGGTCTGTTGTTGTGGTAGTTGGTTGGTCTGTTGTCGTGGTAGTTGGTTGGTCTGTTGTTGTGGTAGTTGGTTGGTCTGTTGCTGTGGTAGTTGGTTAGTCTACTCTTGTGGTAGTTGGTTGGTCTGTTGTTGTGGTAGTTGGTTGGTCTGTTGCTGTGGTAGTTGGTTGGTCTGTTGTTGTGGTAGTTGGTTGGTCTGTTGTTGTGGTAGTTGGTTGGTCTGTTGTTGTGGTAGTTGGTTGGTCTGTTGTTGTGGTAGTTGGTTGGTCTTGTGTTGTTGTGGTAGTTGGTTGGTCTGTTGTTGTGGTAGTTGGTTGGTCTGTTGTTGCGATAGTTGGTTGGTCTGTTGTTGTGGTAGTTGGTTGGTCTGTTGTTGTGGTAGTTGGTTGGTCTGTTGCTGTGGTAGTTGGTTAGTCTACTCTTGTGGTAGTTGGTTGGTCTGTTGTTGTGGTAGTTGGTTGGTCTGTTGCTGTGGTAGTTGGTTGGTCTGTTGTTGTGGTAGTGGGTTGGTCTGTTGTTGTGGTAGTTGGTTAGTCTACTCTTGTGGTAGTTGGTTGGTCTGTTGTTGTGGTAATTTGTTGGTCTGTTGTTGTGGTAGTTGGTTGGTCTGCTGTTGTGGTAGTGGGTTGGTCTGTTGTTGTGGTAGTTGGTTAGTCTACTCTTGTGGTAGTTGGTTGGTCTGTTGTTGTGGTAATTTGTTGGTCTGTTGTTGTGGTAGTTGGTTGGTCTGCTGTTGTGGTAGTTGGTTGGTCTGTTGTTGTGGTAATTTGTTGGTCTGTTGTTGTGGTAGTTGGTTGGTCTGCTGTTGTGGTAGTTGGTTGGTCTGTTGTTTTGGTAGCTGGTTGGTCTGCTGTTGTGGTAGTTGGTTGGTCTGTTGTTTTGGTAGTTGGTTGGTCTGTTGTTGTGTTAGTTGGTTGGTCTGTTGTTGTGGTAGTTGGTTAGTCTACTCTTGTGGTAGTTGGTTGGTCTGTTGTTGTGGTAGTGGGTTGGTCTTCTGTAGCGGTAGTTGGTTGGTCTGCTGTTGTGGTAGTTGGTTGGTCTGTTGTTGTGGTAGTTGGTTGGTCTGTTGTTGTGGTAATGGGTTGGTCTGTTGTTGTGGTAGTTGGTTAGTCTACTCTTGTGGTAGTTGGTTGGTCTGTTGTTGTGGTAGTGGGTTGGTCTTCTGTAGCGGTAGTTGGTTGGTCTGCTGTTGTGGTAGTTGGTTGGTCTACTGTTGTGGTAGTTGGTTGGTCTGTTGTTGTGGTAGTTGGTTGGTCTGTTGTTGTGGTAGTTGTTCGGCCTGTTGTTGTGGTAGTTGGTTGGTCTGTTGTTGTGGTAGTTGTTTCGTCTGTTGTTGTGGTAGTGGGTTGGTCTGTTGTTGTGGGAGTGGGTTGGTCTGTTGTTGTGGTAGTTGTTCGGTCTGTTGTTGTGGTAGTTGGTTGGTCTGTTGTTGTGGTAGTTGTTCGGTCTGTTGTTGTGGTAGTTGGTTGGTCTGCTGTTGTGGTAGTTGGTTGGTCTGTTGTTGTGGTAGTTGGTTGGTCTGTTGTTGTGGTAGTTGGTTGGTTTGTTGTTGTGGTAGTTGTTTGGTCTGTTGTTGTGGTAGTTGGTTGGTCTGTTGTTGTGGTAGTTGTTCGGTCTGTTGTTGTGGTAGTTGGTTGGTCTGCTGTTGTGGTAGTTGGTTGGTCTGTTGTTGTGGTAGTTGGTTGGTCTGTTGTTGTGGTAGTTGGTTGGTCTGTTGTTGTGGTAGTTGTTTGGTCTGTTGTTGTGGTAGTTGTTCGGTCTGTTGTTGTGGTAGTTGGTTGGTCTGTTGTTGTGGTAGTTGTTCGGTCTGTTGTTGTGGGAGTTGGTTGGTCTGTTGTTGTGGTAGTTGGTTGGTCTGCTGTTGTGGTAGTGGGTTGGTCTGTTGTTGTGGTAGTTGGTTGGTCTGTTGTTGTGGTAGTGGGTTGGTCTGTTGTTGTGGTAGTGGGTTGGTCTGTTGTTGTGGTAGTTGGTTGGTCTGTTGTTGTGTTAGTTGGTTGGTCTGTTGTTGTGGTAGTTGGTTAGTCTACTCTTGTGGTAGTTGGTTGGTCTGTTGTTGTGGTAGTGGGTTGGTCTTCTGTAGCGGTAGTTGGTTGGTCTGCTGTTGTGGTAGTTGGTTGGTCTGTTGTTGTGGTAGTTGGTTGGTGTTGTTGTTGTGGTAATGGGTTGGTCTGTTGTTGTGGTAGTTGGTTAGTCTACTCTTGTGGTAGTTGGGTGGTCTGTTGTTGTGGTAGTGGGTTGGTCTTCTGTAGCGGTAGTTGGTTGGTCTGCTGTTGTGGTAGTTGGTTGGTCTACTGTTGTGGTAGTTGGTTGGTCTGTTGTTGTGGTAGTTGGTTGGTCTGTTGTTGTGGTAGTTGTTCGGCCTGTTGTTGTGGTAGTGGGTTGGTCTGTTGTTGTGGGAGTGGGTTGGTCTGTTGTTGTGGTAGTTGTTCGGTCTGTTGTTGTGGTAGTTGGTTGGTCTGCTGTTGTGGTAGTTGGTTGGTCTGTTGTTGTGGTAGTTGGTTGGTCTGTTGTTGTGGTAGTTGGTTGGTTTGTTGTTGTGGTAGTTGTTTGGTCTGTTGTTGTGGTAGTTGGTTGGTCTGTTGTTGTGGTAGTTGTTCGGTCTGTTGTTGTGGTAGTTGGTTGGTCTGCTGTTGTGGTAGTTGGTTGGTCTGTTGTTGTGGTAGTTGGTTGGTCTGTTGTTGTGGTAGTTGGTTGGTCTGTTGTTGTGGTAGTTGTTTGGTCTGTTGTTGTGGTAGTTGTTCGGTCTGTTGTTGTGGTAGTTGGTTGGTCTGTTGTTGTGGTAGTTGTTCGGTCTGTTGTTGTGGGAGTTGGTTGGTCTGTTGTTGTGGTAGTTGGTTGGTCTGCTGTTGTGGTAGTGGGTTGGTCTGTTGTTGTGGTAGTTGGTTGGTCTGTTGTTGTGGTAGTTGGTTGGTCTACTGTTGTGGTAGTTGGTTGGTCTGTTGTTGTGGTAGTTGGTTGGTCTGTTGTTGTGGTAGTTTTTCGGCCTGTTGTTGTGGTAGTTGGTTGGTCTGTTGTTGTGGTAGTTGTTTCGTCTGTTGTTGTGGTAGTGGGTTGGTCTGTTGTTGTGGGAGTGGGTTGGTCTGTTGTTGTGGTAGTTGTTCGGTCTGTTGTTGTGGTAGTTGGTTGGTCTGTTGTTGTGGTAGTTGTTCGGTCTGTTGTTGTGGTAGTTGGTTGGTCTGCTGTTGTGGTAGTTGGTTGGTCTGTTGTTGTGGTAGTTGGTTGGTCTGTTGTTGTGGGAGTTGGTTGGTCTGTTGTTGTGGTAGTTGGTTGGTCTGTTGTTGTGGTAGTTGTTCGGTCTGTTGTTGTGGTAGTTGGTTGGTTTGTTGTTGTGGTAGTTGATCGGTCTGTTGTTGTGGTAGTTGGTTGGTCTGTTGTTGTGGTAGTTGGTTGGTCTGTTGTTGTGGTAGTTGTTTGGTCTGTTGTTGTGGTAGTGGGTTGGTCTGTTGTTGTGGGAGTTGGTTGGTCTGTTGTTGTGGTAGTTGGTTGGTCTGTTGTTGTGGTAGTTGGTTGGTCTGTTGTTGTGGTAGTTGGTTGGTCTGTTGTTGTGGTAGTTGGTTGGTCTGTTGTTGTGGTAGTTGGTTGGTCTGTTGTTGTGGTAGTTGGTTGGTCTGTTGTTGTGGTAGTTGGTTGGTGTGTTGTTGTGGTAGTTGGTTGGTCTGTTGTTGTGGTAGTTGGTTGGTCTGTTGTTGTGGTAGTTGGTTGGTCTGTTGTTGTGGTAGTTGTTCGGTCTGTTGTTGTGGTAGTTGGTTGGTCTGTTGTTGTGGTAGTTGGTTGGTCTGCTGTTGTGGTAGTGGGTTGGTCTGTTGTTGTGGTAGTTGGTTGGTCTGTTGTTGTGGTAGTTGTTCGGTCTGCTGTTGTGGTAGTTGGTTGGTCTGTTGTTGTGGTAGTTGTTCGGTCTGTTGTTGTGGTAGTTGGTTGGTCTGTATGTTCCATCCTTGGATATAAATGAATCTTTTATCATTTGAGTAATTAGATGCACCATGATCCAAAAATCATAACATATATATATACTTTTTTTTTTTTTTTTTTTTTTTTTTTTTAAATACATGATTGTTTAACTTAAAATATGTTACATCTTGGTAGTTCTTGAGTAGTGGTTACCCAGCAGGCTTTCCTTTAGTAATGTATATCATGACAGAACCTTTCTCCTTATTGCTTCATAGTTACCTTTGCCTGAGTGTTTGAGGATGTAAAATCATTCCTAACATTCCCCACTATCTTTAAATTATTAAAACTGCCGGAAGAAACAATCATCTCAAAGCTGCAGGAGATGCTGAAGTCGAAGTGGAGCGGACGTAAAGTGGTGGCTTCTCTGTGTAGAGTGTAATGAGGTGGAAGCAGACGCAGCCTCGGAGGAGCAGCAGCAGCCGCTCGAGCTCCCTTTGACCTCCACCTCTTCGCCTTCGCCAGGGGCACAGCGGGCAACATGTGGGGCTTTGTGACGCAGCATTTCTATGTAAAAGCTGCGGTACCTGTTTCAATTAACCCAGGTTGTTTGTCCCAACAGAAAGAGTTCAAATGTTAGAAATTAAGAAATGAGAGCAATTTTAGATCTGCTTTTAAGAGGTCAAAAAGTTCATCCATGTGAGAATTAGAGATGGGGATAGACTTTATTCATTGTTGTTGTTTGTGGATTGAAAGTTGGATACCACAGCTTTAAATCAAGATGAAATGTGGTGTCTGGCCTCCTGCTGGGACTCTGAGGAACACAGGGACTGGCCTCCTGCTGGGACTCTGAGGAGCACAGGGACTGGCCTCCTGCTGGGACTCTGAGGAGCACAGGGACTGACCTCCTGCCGTGACTCTGAGGAGCACAGGGACTGACCTCCTGCTGTGACTCTGAGGAGCACAGGGACTGGCCTCCTGCTGGGACTCTGAGGAGCACAGGGACTGGCCTCCTGCTGGGACTCTGAGGAGCACAGGGACTGGCCTCCTGCTGGGACTCTGAGGAGCACAGGGACTGGACTCCTGCTGGGACTCTGAGGAGCACAGGGACTGGCCTCCTGCTGGGACTCTGAGGAGCACAGGGACTGGCCTCCTGCTGGGACTCTGAGGAGCAAAGGGAGGTTGCATTTCCGATCTACGCAGCTAAATTCTGAAGCAGTCTTTCTGATAAAAGTGAGACAGGCTTCTATTGATTCTTCTTTCTAAGGATTATATCTTCACTCCTTTCACTGAACTGTGATGTGAATGTGTCTTCTCTTGTTCTGTTCAGCATGTATGGTCTGTGCTATACAAATAAACCTGCCATTCCTGACCTTGCCTCAAAGATTGGTAAAAAGGTGATATTATTTATGTGGTAGTAAATCTGGGCTAACCAGCTTCAATCCACAAATATCCATTAGTTCTCACTTAAACAATTTGCCTCAGGTACTTTTGGTGCAGGTGCTTGGGTGACAGTGGCTCAGTTGGTAGAGCGTTGGCCTTAGAGCCTGAAGGTTGTCGACTCCCACTGATGACTGCTGTTGTTGTGTCCTTGGGCAAGACACTTAACCCCACTTTGCCTGAAGCCCCCGCTGAAAGATCAAGGCTGTGCTCACACTGACAGAGCAGCCATCCTCCTGTGGACTCACTGCCTGCAGGAGGATCAGTGAGGGGCTGGTGCTCTGACTGCCACCCCCCCGACCCAGAAATGGATTAAGGGGAAGAAAATGGATGGATGGACTTTTGGTGCACATGTTGTCATGGTGTGGATATTTTGTTTTTCTGTACTTGTATATCCTTGTTATATTTTGACTTTGGTTCCCTGTGGTTTCGTTTTTGTTGCTGGTCTATTGTATTGTCCGTCCGTCCGTTTTCTTCCCCTTAATCCATTTCTGGGTTTGGGGACATTGTATTGTCTTGTCTGTGATCTTGGTTCTGTGTTCTTTGTGCATTTATATTTTGAGTTTGTTTTTATTTCATTATCATTAAACCCTTTTCCTTTTCTTTGGGTCCTCATTCACTTCCCACACGACACATTTGACTCAAACACATCCTCACTTTCGTATTTTCAAGATTGATATAGTAAATACGTAAGCTTGTTTATTCGGTCATACACATTTTGACCGAAGGTTCCAAAAACAATTTATCTTATGTTAGTTCATGTATATACTTTGACATAAACAAACGCATTTGTGACCGAAGGGATGAGGCGTCTGCGGAAAGGTAGGACTGTGATCTGTAGTAATAAGGTTACATACCTTATATATATTATTTTCAGATGGTGAAGCCAGAAGCTCAAAACTGGTCAAATTCTTGCATTATCCATTCGTTCACACACAGTTGAAGACGCCACAGTCCCCAGAGTTTCTCCATCGTGTCCCAGGAAGCACATGCAGACTTCAATCAGAGAAAAAAAACTCCTCACTGAGATCTACCCGGCACATGTGCAATCACAAATACAGCCGCTCACATTCTCTCCCGTTGGGAAGACCCTCTGTGCTGAGCTCCTGGACTGATTGGTTTTTCAAATCTGCTTTTTCAGTGAAACAAACGTATACTGAAAGGATCATCAGAAATAGAAATGTGTGTATTACCATTGTACAAGAGTGAGCGACAAACATGAAGCTTAAACACAAGCTCAGACTGAAAGACCAAGGAGACGCCTGCCACACTCACTCCTCCCCCTCTACACTCACTCCTCCCCCTCTACACTGACTCCTCCCGATTTACACTGACTCCTCCTCTTGTACCCTGACTCCTCCCTCTTTACACTGACTCCTCCCCCTCTACACTGACTCATCCCTTTTTACCCTGACTCCTCCCTCTTAACACTGAACTCCTCCCCTCTACACTGACTCCTCCCCCTCTACACTGACTCCTCCTCCCCTACACTGACTCCTCCTACTCTACACTGACTCCTCCCCTACACTAATTTTTCCCTCGACACAGACTCCTCCTCCCCTACACTGACTCCTACCCCTCTACACTGACTCATCCCTTTTTACCCTGACTCCTCCCTCTTAACACTGACTCCTCCCCCTCTACACCGATTCCTCCTCCTCTACACTGACTCTTCCTCCTGTGCACTGACTCCTCCCTCTTTACACTGACTCATCCTCCTCTACACTGACTCCTCCCTCTTTATACTGACCCCTCCTCTTCTACACTGACTCCTCCTCTTCTACACTGACTCCTCCCCCTCTACCCTGACTCCTCCCCCTCTACCCTGACTCTTCCCTCTTTACACTGACTCCTCCTCTACACTGACTCCTCCCTCTTTACACTGACTCCTCCTCTACACTGACTCCTCCTTCTTTACACTGACCCTCTTTACACTGACTCCTCCTCCTCTACACTGACTCCTCCTCCTGTACCCTGACTCCTCCTCTTCTACCCTGACTCCTCCCCCTCTACCCTGACTCCTCCCTCTTTACGCTGACTCCTCCTCTACACTGACTCCTCCTTCTTTACACTGACCCCTCCCTCTTTACACTGACTCCTCCTCTACACTGACTCTTCCCCCTCTATCCCCCTCTACATTGACTCCTCCCCCTACACTGACCCCTCCCTCTTTATACTGAACCCTCCTCTTCTATCCTGACTCCTCCCTCTTTTTACTGACTCCTCCTCTTCTACACTGACTCCTCCCCCTCTACCCTGACTCCTTTACTATGTACAAGGGAACTTGTTACGGCCTTGGGCCTGTAGGAGCAGCGGTGCACCTGGCCCATCCAGCTTCCCCACCTGGAGTCACTCTCTTAAGGCCACACACCACACCTGTCCGGGGCTGCCAGCCTGTGTGTGGCTGGTATGCCAAATAGTCCTCATGATGTCTGAACTTATTTTTTCCATTTACATTCAGCTATTTATTAACTGAGTTGGGACAATGCACATTTATCAACACTGATGCTTTGAGCGTCAGTGTAAATGCGCCAGACTTAGCAAAACTTCTAACTGCTAACTTTCAGCAGTAGTCCCAAGCGAAGTTAGCTAACATACGCACACACAAAAGAATTAAAAACCTCACTCGACAATGAATAAATACCAAACAGAACTCAGAGAACTATCTGAGCTCAGTCCAATCCTCTGCTCAGTGGTTTTAGCGCTCTCTTTGATGCAAAGGTTTGTGCCGCGACGAACGGCAACCAATGAGAGAGCAGCAAAGTGGTCACATGGACAAAAGGTCAGAGCAAGAAGAGGAAGACATATACAAACAGGCCAAACAAGAGCTTGAGTAGGACTTAACCAGGACTAACTAAGGACTAAACCAGGACTAACCAAGGACTTCACCAGGACTAAACCAGGACTTCACCAGGACTAAACCCAGACTTAACCAGGACTAAACCAGGACTTCATAGGAATATATTAGTAACTAATGCAATCCTTTTCTCGAGTCTTTTCAGAATCCTTTTTTATTGCCATGTGAGTAAGAAGAAGTCAGGAACGAGGAAATGTCTTTGGCTCTCGTGCAAACAAGTTAAACCAGAATAAAAACAAGAAGGCATGCGTACATAATAATCACACACACTTCTTCAGTTTACTACATACAAGTGAACTTGTTACAGCCTTGGGCCTGTAGGAGCAGCGGTGCACCTGGCCCATCCAGCTTCCCCACCTGGAGTCACTCTCTTAAGGCCACACACCACACCTGTCCGGGGCTGCCAGCCTGTGTGTGGCTGGTATGCCAAATAGTGGTGACAATGACGTAAAGACAGTCCTTATGGTCCTTATAGCTTTTATTTGGTTTGTCTCTTTTTATTTGTCACTTTGAGGTTTTGTTTTTGTGACACTTTGTCTTATTTGAGACAACAGTCAGTTTAGTGTTTAGTGTAGCTTTTTTCTTGGTAACGTTGAGTTACCCCATTATGTCCTGTAGGTCAGAGGTGTCCAAACTGGTCCAGAAAGGGCCACTGTGGCTGCAGGTTGTCTATCAGAGCCAACAGGATCCGAGCAGACTCCGCCCATTTCCTCAAATCTTCAGGTTAAGACTGAACTCTCTTGAGGAAATGGTTGGAGTCTGCTCTCCTCCTGTTGGGTCTGATAGACCGGTTTGGACACACCTGCTGTAGTGTGTGCTTTGATTTTTGTCTACTTATCATTTACATTTCTTTTATTAAATACTTGCTTTACCATTTTAACATCTTGGTTCTTTTTGCTACCTCCCTTACCCTAGCCAAGCTGGGTCGTAACATAGGTGTACATGATAGACCTATAAGAGTGCTGCAGTGACGGTCATAGGTCAGAGGTCAGAGTTGGATTATGAAGTGTTCATGAGTCCAACAGCAGAGGGGAAGATTGAAGATGTCAGAATTTTTCTACATTTGATGATAACTTTTGGTTCTAAATTTGGGGAAATACTACATATGAAAAAGTTTTCCTACAGAAAACCGTTGTGGTAATTAGATAGCTATAAAGTGATCTGGCCTTAGGACAACGACCCGATTGTGTATCTGCGATGATTGTGTGTCCGTGTTCTGTTCTTTCGATGTCTTGTTATGTTCTGA